ACACACACACATATATGTGTATATATATATATATATACACACACATATATATATATATATATATATATATATATATATATGATTCTGTTCTATAGAACCCTAACCAATACACAGAGTTATATTGAATTATTATATGACCCATTAACCTCACTTTTAGGTATATATCATAGAGAATGGAGAATACATGTTTATACAACCATTTGTATCTGAATGTTCACAGCAGCATTATTTGTAATAGCCAAGAAGTGGGAACAACCCAAGCTTCATCTCTTGATGAAAGGATATACCAACTGTATTTATCCATAGGAAGACATATTATTTAAACCATAAAATGAAGTACTGTCATATGATACATCACAGGGGAACCTTGAAAATATGCTAAGTAGAAGAAGCCCATCACAAGACCATGTGCCACATGATTCTATTTATATGAAACATCCAGAATAGGCAAATCTATAGACAGAAAGCAGAGAGGAGGGAGGATGGGGAAAATGTTAATAACTGCCAACTGGTAGGGAGCTTCTTTTTGAGGTTATAAAAATATTTTGAAGTCAGTGATGTTTGTTACCAAGTACTGTATTAAAAACATTTTAAAAGACCACTGAAGCATCCAATTTTAACTGATGGATTTTATATTGGTATATCTCAAATTTAAGAATGCTATTATTTTTTCAAAAGAACTTTGGATTTTGGGTAATAAATGGATTGTGGTGAGCAAGACAGAAAGCAAATAAGTGAGGAACCTGAAGTCAAGAAGTTTAACCCAAAATTCACAGAGAGAGTAGTAGATCTTTCTGACTCCAATCCCATGTTCTTAACCTTTATGTTATAATTTTTAGCCAAGGGTCTCTTTTGTCACCTAACTCCATAAATAGCCACAACGTATTTCTTGAAGACATTTCTCTGTTGAATGTTCAAACAGCAGCGCTCCTGCTTGAATGAAATTTCTATGGACTGAGAAAAACTTTCTCTACCATGTCTGAGAACAACATACAATTCAAAGATGAGATTGCATTAAGAAGAGTTAAAAGTTTTGGTGCCATGATTTGAGATTATTCTTAGGAAAGGAATTGTACCCCATAGAAAAGAGTTTTACTTTTAGAGATGAATTACACTAACTTATTTGTTGGACAAAAGGGAATTCTGTCTTCTTGTTTCTTTGAGGACTCTGGGTCTGAATGTTAAAATAAATACATTGGGTGGAGCACTTAAATGGATTTATTAAATTCTGTTTTAAAAATCTATTCCCTATTCCTTTGGTGGTGGAAAATATTTTGTTATGGGCTGAAGACAGAGATCCTCCAAAAAAAAAATACGAGATGATTTATGGTTGAGAATGCTGAGTGCTAGAATTTAGAAAAACAAGTTGTTTTTCAAGTTTTTTTCTTCTCTTTACCTGCAAAGGAAGTGAAGTTTAGAATAAAATTATGGTGAACATATTGTAATAGTTTACCACTGTCATCTTTCCCAGTATTCAGGCTGCAAATGGGATTAGAAGAAGCCCTTGTGAACCCCTCATGCAGGGGTCCAGTGCACCATGAACAGGCCATTCACCTTGGCACCACTCCAACTCCCCTGGCTTTCCAGTTGTCAAAATGTCACTGCCCACTCTCCCCAAAGGCAAGTAACTTGCCATGTACGTTATGTCCTTTATCCTCCTCATCAACATTAATACAAATGCCTTGCAGTCCTTGCATATGAGAAAACCTTAGATATACCTACTGACAGAATAAGTTACTGAATAAAGAAAATTCTGGGAATTAAATATAATATAACCCAGAGGCACTTATGGCTCAAACTTTTTCATTTATTTTCAGTCAATTGGGGTTTTGCCTCAGTTATTTACATACACTCATGTATATTTGAGAAACAAGTGTGTAATCACCTAGAATGTTAATAATTAATCTTTTATAACACTGACGTATTCTCCCAGTTTAAGAAGTCATTTCTGCCAATGTGAAAATTACGAGAAATATTTTATACCTCTGAATCTCCTTGCTATGAATTCTAAATGATTTATGAAAAGAATTCATGGTATATCTCAAGTTCTATACAAACTAAAGAATATTACTACTATTATCCCAATTTTAGGAATCTAATACAACCTTGAGAATGACTTCTTGTATCAACAATATTTTTCCAGAAAGTGTTGACACCCAGCTATGGCATAATATTATCCAAGGTTGTTATGCTTGCCTTCCATTATTCCAAGACACAGGAGATCATTCATTTAACTTCCCAAATGTGGAAAACAAACCCATTTATTTGTGAAGATTTCCAAGATGACATAGTTTCCGGTATTATATGAGCCACTCCCTGTTAACACTAAGGAGGTTCCCTTTACTAAATTTCATATCCCATTCATGAAAAGTTTTCATTTCTTGGACCACTAACTCCAACTGGATACCACTGATGGAATGTGCGGAAGGCATGAACCTTGAGATAGGCATGTAGGGTGGGGAGAACCAGCTTTCACCTCTGGCTCTGGGTTTTATGGGCAGAATGACCACTAAGTACCTGTCATGTACCAGGTCTATAAAGGATACCTTTTCATTTTTCTTTGGTTCTTCCTATAGATTATTTTCTCAGTCATCTAGAGGCCAGTGTGGGAACAGTTTCGAGTCCTTCACTCTTTCGTTCCTTACATTCAGTCATCAAACACTTCACTCCTTTCCAAGAACAGGTCTCAGATCATTTCTTTTCAACTCTCATGACCTGGTTCTTCGTTGGTTTCTTGTGACCTGACAGGCTTGAGCTAAATGTCTGGAATAGAAGACTCTACAAAACATGCCCTTTAACTTGTTTATGTTCACCTGCTATCCCCCTACTGGAAACTCCTACCCTAACTATGCATGCTGTTTCCTCTCTCATGTTTATGTTCTGTATTAGTATTCTATTGCTATTGTAATAGGTCACAAATCTTAGTACCACTAATAATACAAATTTATTATTTTACAGTTCTGGAGGTCAGAAGTCTGAGGCCTTGAAGGCTCCCCAGTTCTCTACATCTCGGGTAGAGAGGAAACCGTGAAATAAAGCAAAGGGAGCATTCTTTGTTGTTACTTGTGGAGAGGTTTTAGATTAACCTCTTAAAATTGTGAAGTTAGAACCATACATTTTAAAACAGTGACTCTTAAAGTGTGGTCCCCATCCAGCATCAGTGATATCACCAAGCAACTTATCAGTAACACAAATCCATGGGTTTTACCACTGATCTGAAGAATCAGTTAATGGAGGAAGTGGTGGGTGTCCGCATCTTTTTTAAAGATATCTTCCAGGGGATTCTGATGCACACGTTTCTGTATCACTCTTAAACAAAAGTTTAAGGGCACTTTAACCTATTTGGCTACTAACAGACTACTTGGCCTTCTGTGCTAGTGCTGTACAAGTAGCGCTAAGCCTATTTGCCTTAATTTTACTGTGAAAGACCTAAAGATAGCTTTTAAAACACTACGTCCTTCACAAGAACTTCAAGATTTTAGCATAAAATGAGCATCTTAAAGGACGCCATGTTCATCAAACAAAATCAGCTGCTACATATAATATCAAAATGAGAAACTAACGAGGCCGGCACGGTGAATGCCTAGTTGTTACTCTTCCCTCCTGAATTTTTATAATTACACTATCGAGAGTAGAACCCTGAAAAGTACTACAACCAAGCGCCATTTCCATCGAAATGAGACTTGGGACAGCCCAGGACAGTGGTAAAACAAGGCAGGGGGAGGAGATGCAGAGGATAACACAGACTTGTCTCGGAGGAGGATAACTTTCTCCCCCGAAGTCCTCCAGGCCGCGCCAGTCCTCCAGCAGCACACTCAGCGTCGAGCAGCCATTGGCTAAGCAAGCCGCGCCCCGCGCTTTCCGATGCGCCTGCGCAGTGCAGACTTGGACCGGACGCCCCCTCGCGGCGCTGCTAGTGAGCAGTGTGGGGACGACGGCCTTTTCCGCCCGGACTGCGGCCAGCGCGGTCCCGCCCCTGCGCATCACGTCAATCCAGCCCTCCGCTCTGTGTTGCCGCCGTCAGACGGAGGCGAGCGCCTCTCAGCCAATGAGGGGTCAGGAACAAAAAAGCGGGGAGGAATAAAAGCGGGGAGGCTGACCAATCACAGCGTCTCACACCCGGATGTGCTTTCGGGTTGGGAAAACTAGCTCTGCAGAAGTGTGAGGGGTTCTACACGTGGGGACGTGCTGAGGGCGCCGCGGAGGGCGTGGGCGTGTGCAGATCAAGTCCCGCGACTCTCGTGCGTTGGCCGTGTAAGGGTTGTTTCTCTAGGTGTCTAGTGGGGGCCCGAATCGACGCGTCTGTTCGTGGGTGGATAGAATTCTCCCTGCAGCGCCCCGAAGCCCCTCATGGTGCTTCACAGGGAGTAGATCTTGAACACGCTCTTCGGGCAAGGGGAACATGAATCTCTTACCCAAAAGTTTCAAGGACTTTGGCTCGGTTGACTACTGGGAGAAGTTCTTTCAGCAGAGGGGAAAGCAGGCTTTCGAGTGGTATGGAACCTACCTGGAATTGTGCGGGGTGCTGCACAAGTACATCAAGCCCCGGGAGAAGGTAAGGTCGCGGCCCGGGGCCCAGGACGTGTGCTCTGGAAGGCGAACTGTTAACGATGGTCCTGTACCCGGTGGGCACACGGCTTGGGGCCCCTGTGGGACCTACACTTTCGGGGGTGTCATGCCTCGTTCTTACCAAGACAGCGTATTAAATTTTTTAAGGATTTTCAGTTAAAAGACCTCCCGCCCTACTGTGTTCCTCAATTAATAACCGTTCTTGGAATAGTAACTTCTTCAGTAGCCCAACGCATAGAGTGGGCCCTTCTGTCCCCGCACATCCTTCCATTGATGTGTTTGTTCAGTAGTTGTTGAGTCCTCACTGTGTTCCAGGTACTGTATTCAGCCCTTAAGCTACGAGAGGGTTAAGATGTAAACCCTGCGCACACTCCGGAACAGTGCAGTAATAGATTTAGTAGAGGTGAAATTGTTGAGGAAGTAGGGAAAAAGACCAACGTTTGTTTTGTTTTGTTGGAGACAGGGTCTTGTTACATAGTCACAGACTCACCGTGTAGCCCGGCTGGCCTTGAACTCGCAGTGATCCTCCTGTCTCAGCCTCCGGAGTACTGGGATTACAGGCTTGTGCCACCACACTCAGCCAAGCCTAACATCTGTAGAGGAAGCTTATGCTAAGCTTCGTGTGTGGTGGTGTTTTCTTACGTGTGCAGTCTTTTAATTCTTTTCATGCACTTATTGACGAGCATGTTGGTGCTCAGACATACAGGAAGTCACATGGAGATTTAAACTCAGGCCTATCTGGCTTCATAGCTTGTGGATTTCTCCTTGAACTATCCCTTTGCAGACAGAGATGCTGATCCCGGAGCAGAATTCTGAAAGATGAGAGGGAGATTGCTTCACAGAGAGGGAGGCAATAACTTTTAAAGTTTGACTTCAGGATAGCTAAATGTCATGAAATGGAATCCATAATGGGAGTTTTGAAACCTCACAAATGTAGTTCATTGCCTGGAGAAGCAAAGGCATGAGTGACTAGAGGAAAGGCTTCATGCCAGACCTAAGTGTCTTAACAGGAAAGCAGGAGCTTCTCACTGTAGCGACTGTCTTTGGATTCCGTGACTTCTTACTAATGTGTCATTAATGCATGCTTGTTTGAGAGGACAGCTTGATTTCATTTGTTTCTGCACCTCAAAGCTTATTATAACCTGTATTGTAACCAGTGGTGTTTTTCAATAATAATTCTTTAATCCACGGTGTTTCAAGCTGGAGTCTAATGTTAACTGTGGTGTTAGTGCTTCCTGACAGTAGCATTTGGAAAACAGGCAGCCATTAGGGGAAGCCTTACTTTCATAGTGCATTTCCCTGCCTTGCTTACCTCCATCTTGCGCGTGATTTCCTTCCCCAGGTGCTGGTGATTGGGTGTGGCAACTCAGAGCTGAGCGAGCAGCTGTATGATGTGGGCTATCAGGACATAGTGAACATCGACATCAGTGAGGTGGTCATCAAGCAGATGAGGGAACGCAGTGCCAGCCGCCGGCCCCGGATGAGCTTCTTGAAGATGGACATGACACGGATGGAGTTTCCCGATGCCTCATTCCAGGTGGTGTTGGACAAGGGCACCCTGGATGCTGTCCTGACAGATGAGGAGGAGAAGACCCTGCAGCTGGTGGACAGGATGCTGGCTGAGGTTGGCCGTGTCCTGCAGGTGGGCGGTCGCTACCTCTGCATCTCCCTGGCTCAGGCTCACGTCCTGAAGAAAGCAGTGGGTCACTTCTCTCGGGAGGGGTGGATGGTGAGGGTGCACCAAGTGGCCAGCAGCCGGGACCAGGCGTTGGAATCAGAGCCTCGGTTCTCCCTGCCTGTCTTTGCCTTCATCATGACCAAGTTCAGGCCGGTCCCTGGCTCTGCCCTTCAGATCTTTGAGCTGTGTGCTCAGGAGCAGGGCAAGCCGGTGCGGCTGGAAAGTGCCGAGCTGCTGGCAGAGGCTGTGCGGGAGCGGCAGCAGTATGCATGGCTGTGCGGCCAGCTTCGCCGCAAGGCCGGGCTGGGGAGTGTGTCTCTGGACTTGTGCAGTGGGGACACGGGGGAGCCACGCTACACCCTCCACGTGGTGGACAGCCCCGCTGTGAAGCCATCGCGGGACAATCATTTTGCCATTTTCATCAGTGAGTTGGGATTGTTCCCTCCCTTTCCTTGGAGGGGCTGGGGCTGGGCTTGGGCTTTGGTGGATGGGTGTGTCTTGGCTGTTTTTGTCTTCAGAGGGTGGAAGTTTCAGTGAGCTAGATGAGGTGAGGCGTGGTGGAGCGGAAGGAATAGCTTCCTAGCATCCTGTTTAGATTTCAGTCTTACTCCTCATCTTCTTTGCAAAGGCTTGAGAAGGTATGACAGCGCTCTCGGTAGGCAAGAGAGTGGAGGTGTTAGTTACTTGGCATTGAATTGAAGCAATGCTGAATTACTTGGCCCCTAGTTCTAGTCACAGCTCCAGCTTGTGTGCTGAGGGATCTGGAAGAATTGCTGTGTGTCTGTAGAATTCAGGGAGGCTGTACAAAGTAGCTGAAAAGGGAACCCAACTATTTGGGTTCCAGTCACGAGGCAGTCACTTTGGGCGGTGTGATACAGAACAAGTTACCTTTCTTCACATGCTTGTTTCCTCATCTTTGAAATGAGATTGTGACTCCCTTCTGCAGTTGAGTTTAAAATCTCTTAGAAATGGTTCCTGGCATGTGATAAATGGTTTATAAATATTAGTTACCATTAAGGAGAGTAAAGAATACTAGATTTACCGTAATAAAGATCAAGAGGTAGTGTGAGGAAATGCTTTCAAATGTAGAAAGTTCTAGACATATGCAAAAGATCATGGTCATGTTGGTAATTTGTTTCCTGACAACTGAATCATTTTTCTAAGTATTTTGTAATCCCACCTCTCTGCCTGTGGGAACGAATAGCGCACTGGATCTGAACATGGAATCTGGCACTGCACTGCTTGGGTTTGAGTTCCAGCTTTCCCATTTGTTAGCTTTGTGAACTTGGGCAAGTAATGTAATTTGTATGCCTGATTTTCTCATTTGTAAAACAGTAATAGTGCTACTGCATCTTGGGTTATTGTGAGGATTCTATTAGCTTATATTTGTAAACTGCTTGGAATCATGCCTAGCATGTAATAAACCTTGGTTTTATTGCTGTTTATCTTGTGTTAAGTGCCCCCCCCGCTTTATAGACATGCCCATATTCCTGTCTAACCTTGGTTCTCCATGTCTGATGGGCTGCTTTGTTGGGTGTAGTGTACTAGGGATTGCTAGCCCCACAGTGAGTATCAGGCAAGGAGGATGCTGCTCACCGGTAGGGCTGGCTTTCTGTCACATGGGCCATAATGGTTGTGGGGTCATGAATGCTTCCTAGGACTCCCTGTAACTGGGTCTCTCTTTCCAGTTCCCCAGGGCCGGGAGACTGAGTGGCTCTTTGGCATGGAGGAAGGCCGGAAGCAACTGGCAGCCAGTGCGGGCTTCAGGAGGCTAATCACAGTGGCTCTTCATCGAGGTCAGCAGTACGACAGCATGGACAGTATTCAGGCTGAGCTGTCAGCCAGAGTCATGGAGCTGGCCCCGGCTGGGATGCCCACTCAGCAGCAGGTACCAAAGCTTTGGCAGCCGCTTTCGCTGGTCTCTGGAATCTGTTAGCAGCTAGGAAGGCAGAGGGAGCCTTGGAAAGAGCTAAAGTCTGTGACCCTCGTCTTGTCTGATCCTGAGAGAGGTGTTAACAGTTAAAGTTAAATGGGCTTGAGACCACTTTCCTGTACCCCAGGCAGAGAGAGAAAGGTGAACAGTTGCTCATTATAGGAACCATGGTGGCATCTGTCTTGGGGGTTTGAGAGGGGCTGTCAGATTCCTCAGAAATTGCATGAAGAAAATGTGAATCTAGGCACGTCTGTGCCCTAAGTTACCTGAGTCACACGGAGTGAAGAGGAATCATCTTGGGCCACATATAAAACATACACTACAGTTAACATATATAGGTAACAAAACTTACTTTTTAAAAGGTATTTTTTATTGTAACACAGGGATGCCTGTCTCGTGGGCCGCAGGTTGGACAGCCGCCCCAGCCTCCAGCTGTTCATGTTGTGGATTGCCAGGACGATACTCTGTGTTTCCTTTCCCACTTTCGAAAAGGACTTCCTTGCCTATTTGCTTCTCTCAGCTCTCATTATCTGAGGGCATAGGAGAGATAGGGCCAGCATAGCTCAGCAGAATTATCAGGATAATAGGATATTAGCATCACTGGCCTGGTATTTTGCTGGAAAGGAAACTGAGGGTTTTGCTAAAATGGTGATAGAATATTAAAATTACTGGTTGACACCTGCCTTGTTACCATCCTGGCCACCAGCAGTAATTGACAGGTGGATTCATTCTAAAAATCTTATCCTTCTTGAAAAGTGGGAAAGCCAACGTGTTAATCCTGGGCCCTGGGTTCCCACCTGTGGTCCTGCCTACTAGGCTGACTTGTGTTGATGGATGACTGTGTTTGATTCTTCCTGGAAGACCTTGAGCTTGGTGCCCATCAGAGAGACTTTATTTTTAGGGTTGCCCCACTCTGGGAAGTTTCACCTGTAACTTTTTCTCCCCAGTGTTCCTATCTGCAAGATCACAGATTACTGATTATCAAATACAGTGCTCTAACAAAGAACATAAATAAATGTAAAGATGGTAGAAGAGGTTTAGGGGGGAGATGTCTTTTTTTTTCTCCCAAGATTTAGGAAAACAAGGAAAAAGATGACAAGAACTTGGGGGAGGGAGAGATTTCTCCAGATTTAGAGTAGTGGCTTTTGTCTTGGGTTTTGTTATCTTTGCTCTTTCTCATTGTTAGAGCCCTTCCTGAGGATCACCTCTAGATTTCATTCTCCTGGACTATTGAGAATTCTTTTTGGAGTTCTGATGATGACAAATTCTTGGGAAGAACTGTCTTATTAGTGGTTTGGGAGATATGTACGTGTTCAGTTAATTTTCAGAAAAGGGAAGTAAACCTTTTGAGGTCCATTCAGAGGCCTCCCAAAGCCACTTTAACAGAATGGTAAATCTTTGGAGTTGTTCTGCAGAGCTCTTGATATGGAGATTCCTCATAGGCACACAGAGGGAAGGATTATAACTTCTCACATCTTGTAATTCAGTGGGTGTACACAGAGGGATGGATTATAACTTCTCACATCTTGTAATTCAGTGGGTGTACACAGAGGGAAGGATTGTAACTTCTCACATCTTGTAATTCAGTGGGTGTACACAGAGGGAAGGATTGTAACTTCTCACATCTTGTAATTCAGTGGGTGTACACAGAGGGAAGGATTGTAACTTCTCACATCTTGTAATTCAGTGGGTGTTTTGACCATGCCTCTGGCTTTACCTTCAGGTGCCCTTTCTGTCTGTGGGTGGGGACATTGGAGTCCGGACTGTTCAGCACCAAGACTGCAGCCCCTTGAGTGGCGACTATGTCATCGAGGATGTGCAAGGGGACAACAGGCGATACTTTCGGCGGCTGATCTTTCTCAGCAACAGGAATGTGGTGCAGTCGGAGGCCAGGTTGCTGAAGGATGTGCCTCACAGAGGTGAGGTGTCACAGGCATGGTGGGACCTGGGTGGTCATGGCCTGGGCTCTTGGCTTGGGGTCTCCATTGTGGTAGTGTGGGTGAGCAGCAGGAGAGCAGGAAAGTGTTCTGTAGCTACAAATCAGTACCGGATGCTTCTGTAAAAAGCCGGTGGTTCTGACAAGAACAGGACCATCTATCTGTTCAGTATGATGGTGAGGGAGCAGTTGAGGGGAAGTAGAGCGGGCCTTCTATGGGATCTCCACCCTTCCTCCGTTTCCTTTTCCAGATGCTATGTAGTATTGTCCGCTTAGCATGGTGGGAAGATGACAGGTGTTGGTGACAGGCAGTCCCCTGGCTGTCCGTGCCACTGACTGATCCTGGGTCTGTTGACTTACCTATTCAGGTACTCAGTTCTGCCACGTGCCAAGAATGGGAAAGATAAAATTGTTAGAAGAACACAAAGATCAAAAGTCCTGGTTCAGGGCTGGGGACTTAGGTCAGTGGTTCCACCACCTGCCTCGCAAACGCAAGATCTCGAGTTCGTTCCCTGGTACCAAAACAAACAAACAAACAAACAAAAATTCCTGGTTCAATAATTGGCATAGAAAAGGGACTTAGTAACTACATCTTCTGTAAAAGAATTTATGAGTAAACTTTGCTCCTACTCATTGAGTTTTCCAAGGTGTTTTTGTTTTGATTTTTAATGGTACTGAAGATTGAATCCAGCAGTGTTCTCCCACTGAGCTACATTCCCAGTGCTTTTGATTTTTAACTTTGAGACAGGGTCTTGCTAAGTTGCCTGGGCCAGCCTCAAATTTGTGATTCTCCCAAGTAGCTGGGATTCCAGGTGTGTGCCGCTGCACCTGGCTGAGTTTTCCTAGATTTTTGAGTGCGCTTTTGCCACTTTCCTTTCCCAACTCTTTGGAATCCAGTGGTGTACGTTGAATGTTAAAATAACCTTCTCAGGGAGAGGGGACGCTCTGATTTGTAGTTTGCTAACTTCTGTGATAGAAATATTCCCTCCATGGTCAATTTTGGGCTGTGAATATGATGTCAACCAGTTTGTAATATTCTTATATATTTAACACCTGGTTCTCAAGTCTGGCCAAGTCATGGCTGCTGGTAACCCTTGCTTTGCAAGAATTATCGTAAGAAGTATAGGACTTCATTAGTCTGAATCTCTCATTTAGCCCAGAAGAAACGGAAAAAGGACAAGAAGAAGCGGGGGTCTGTTGAGACTTCTGAGGACCTCCCTCCAGCCCCAGGACAGTCCATTGATATTAGTTACCTATGCTGTGAACACCATAAAGCCATGATTGCCGGCCTTGCCCTGCTGAGAAACCCGGAGCTGCTTCTAGGTGAGAGACACCACTGCCTTCACAGACAGTGTGTAAGATTATGGACGTAGATGAGTTGCTTTGTAGTTTGAGAATAATGACTATAAACTCACAAATGCACATATATACTTTCTTTATTCCAGCTATCTTCTAAGTTAAACGAGCATCAACATAATTTTTTTTTTAAGTGGTGCCAGGCGTTGAACCTAGGGACTTTGCACTGAACTACATCCCCAGCCCTTTTTCATTTTTATTTTGTGACAGGGTCTGAGTCACTAAGTTGCCCAGGGTGGCCTCAAACTTGTGATTCTCCTGCTTCAGCCTTCCTGCACTACCATTGCCAGTTCATTCATGTAACTTTTACCTCAACGTGTAATCTTTTTTTTTTTTTGGTTCTGGTGATCAAACTCAGGACCTTGCGCTTGTAAGGCAGGCAGCGGAACCACTGAGCTAAATCCCCAGCCCTCAATGTGAAATCTTGAAATGATTACAAGTGTTGGTGATTAAATTTTTTTTCTTCTGTTCATTTCTTTTTAAAATTAAGATACAGTATTATTCAGTGAGATATGTAAAGGACCCAGGTTTTAAATTGTTCAGCTTGATGATTACATACATATGTATATATTTATACGCGTGTTAACTAGATGGTTCACTTAAATTTCATATTTCTTTGCCTTTGGATAATGTGTGGCTTTTCAATAGTGTTTTTTGCTTTTTGTTTTTTTGTTTGTTTGGTTGATTCTTGAGTACCAGGGATCAAACTCAGGACCTTGGACTTGTGAGGCAGGCACAGTGCCACTGAGCTAAATCCCCAGCCTTTTTTCAGTAGTGTTTTATTTGAGCATGAGATATAATCCTTGAATTTCTATGTAAAGAATCTTTAATATATTTAGTGCACTGATTGGCCTCTCAGTAATAACGGGCTTGGCACTGACCACTTTAGCAAATATGTTCAGATTTCTTTTTACACCTACGACTGTCTTCAGCTGATATCCCCAAGTATGCCTCATTGGAGCATCTTGTAGTTTCAGTCTTTCTTGGTGTTAACATCTCCAGGTTGCAGTTCTTAAATTTATTGAGTCTGCCTCCTTATAGTGATTCTTTTGTTTCTTGTCTTCCTTTAGTCTCCCTGTAGTTACTATGGTTTCTCTGCTCAGGGCTGGGGCCTTGTTTTCCTATGGTTTATGCTCTTAGATGGGCTCCCCTTGCGTGGTAGGTCTGTCTTAGAAGGTAGTTATGGCCTTTTGAGTCAAGAGCCAAGTGAGGGCCATCACACGTGTACTGCCTTGTCATCATGAATAAAATTGTTTGGCCATTGCTGCTCCATTTCTTGGGTTGGGATGTTTATCTAGTAACTCTTATGGGACTTTTGATACTTCATCACCTGCTTTGAGATCTTTATATGCCAGAGTAACAGAACGTTGATTTATCTTCTGGATCAAGTCAGCATGAAGCCAAAGTTGAATTTTAAGATTTCAGTGAACTCCTATATTCTTGGAATGGGACAAAGGAGACCAGGTCCTTCAGTCTTGCATCCTTGAACAGAGTCAACAGTCTAACTTCTTCTTTTGTCTGCCCAGAGGCTGGTGTAAATCTTTACAGTCAGCAGGCAAAATGATGCTTTTTTCTTTTATTACAGAGACCCCACTGGCATTGTTGGTAGTGGGCCTGGGTGGGGGCAGTCTCCCTCTCTTCATCCACGATCATTTCCCCAAGTCCCGCATTGATGCTGTGGAGATTGACCCCTCCATGTTGGAAGTGGCCACTCAGTGGTTTGGCTTCTCGCAGAGTGACCGGATGAAAGTCCACATTGCAGATGGCCTGGACTATATTAGCAGCTTGGCAGGAAGAGAAGGTACTGCTGTGGTTGCATCTGGGGGGTGTTGGGGAGATTGTCCTAAGGTTGTCAGGCCCTCAGGAGCCTCTAGAGTTCATTTCTATGAGGAGGCATCAGCATCATTCCAGGCTCTGTTCATTTTGTTTGCATGTTTATTCATACATGTAGGGTGTCAGCTCTATCCTTAGCACTGTGCTAAGGGTGTAGCAACAAATAAAACAGACCTACCACTTCACCATTCCAAGGAAGTCGATGTAGCTAGGTGTAGAAGAGGGAAAAAACGGGGTGTGTGTGTGTGTGTGTGTGTGTGTGTGTGTTGGGAGATGTTTCTTGTAAAAATACCTTGGCTGGATGTGAGGTCAGAAATATAGTAAAACAACATGCATGTAGATCAGACATTGTTAACCTAGGGGCATTTGTCTGCAAACATATTTTTGGTTGTCACAAAATCGTGTGGGGGAGGCATGCCAGTGGCATCCACTGAATAGAGGCCAAAGGTGCTGCTAAGCATCCTCTCATGCACAGGACGGCCACTGACGACAAAGAATTATCTGTCTCAGTGTCAGAAACCCTGATGCAGATGTTACTTAGTGGGATTTTGATAGCCTTCCTGCTACTAGAATCACAGTAACATTTTGCTGTAATACTTTGTACCACAGACTGAGAACAAAAGGTACATTAATTTTCTGCAAAATGCTAGAGATGAGCTCCTCTGCTTTTTTTGCAACTTTGTATATAGATGCACAGGCTCCCAGTGACTTTGGGCCCTGAGGAAGAAATCAGGTTGGTTCCATTCTGCTTTGGAGCACTGGTCTGTGCCACTCTATGTTTTTTCCTGAATTAGAATGTCTTCCAGGAGTTGTGTAGCATACCAGGAAGTCTGGAGGGTATGTTTTGGGACTGGGATGGACAAATAGTGGCCTTCATTTTAATTGCAGACTGAGCTTAACCGTATCAGTTTTTCAGATTTCCTCAATAAGAGCAGCTGGTGGGTCTAGGCCCAAGATAGCTAACACATCAGAGGCATCTACCTTCTGCGCCAAGCATAATGGTAATGGTGCTGCTGCTGTTATTATCTATAGGTTAGTTTTAGATGGTCCTAGCCATCTTCTCTAACTACCAGAACTTTCTTTCTTTCTTTTTTTTTTTTTT